AAAAAACAAAAAGGAAATCTTAGAGAAAATATCAAAAAGAAAAAGTCTTGGTTGTTTCAAACAACAAAAAGAAATTATGTGTAGTTCTGAAGCCATTTGGAAAATGATTAAAGAATCAGAACCGCAATATTGTGAACCAAATTAAGAATGAGAATCCTTCTATGATCCCAATAGCTCCAACTAAGCAACAACAACCACCTAAAATAAATGACGTTGGTTTCCATTTGTTTTAGCTATGGAAAACAAGTCATATGACTAAGAAATGTAGAAGTAAGCTTGAACTTGGTGTTGTCCCTAATGCACAGGTCAACCTGACTAATGGGCAATTTATTGCTATGGTCATTGAAATCAACATGGTTGATGGATATGTTGGTTGGTGGATAGACACATGTGTCTCTCGTTGTGTCTGTTATGATCGTGTTATGTTTAAACATACACGAATACTAAAGATAAGAAAGTGTTGTTGGGAGATGGTCAGACCACGAATGTTGCTGGAATTATAGACATAGAGCTAAATTTCACCTTCAAAAAGACTTTAATCTTAAGGAACATTATGCATGTTCCTAAGATTAGAAAGAATATTATTTCTGGTTTTCTTTTAAATAAGACAGGGTTTAGTCAGTCTATTAGGATAGATTTGTACGCTATTATGAAGAATGAAGTTTATATGTTTAAAATTTTTGTAAAGAATTTAAAAATGATATAATAAGAATTTGTAGTGATAGATAAACTGTATGATTCTAGTTTATTAATGAATTTTATACATGGAATTGTACATGAAACGACTGCATCATACTATCTTGCAATGAATGGTAAAACATTAAGAAATAATAGAACTCTTACTGAACTTGTTGTTGCAATTATGATGAATTCTGGTGCTGCACCTCACTGGTGGGAGGAAATTTTATTGACTGTTTGCTATATCCTGAATAGAGTCCCCAAGTCAAAATGAAAGATCTCTCCTTATGAGATATTAAAGAAAAGACAACCAAACTTGTCTTATTTGAGAACTTGGGATTGTCCGACTTATGTCAGAATTCCAGATCTGAAACGAGTTAAACTCGCTAGTAGAGCATATGAATGTGTTTTCATTCGGTATGCAGCAAACAATAAAGCATATAGGTTTTATGACCTAAAGGCAAAAGTGATCATAGAATCAAATGATGTTGAATTCTATGAAGACAAATTTCCTTTCAAATTGAGAAATAGTGGGGGCACACAATCGAGTCACATTCTTGTGATAAGAAGCACAAAAAGCATCGACAATGTAGAAACAGAACTTCGACGAAGTAAACGAGTAAGAGTTGCTAAAGACTATAGGCCTGATTATGCGGCTTATAATGTAAAAGAAGATCCAATGAATCTTCAAGAAGCCTTATCATCTCTGGATGTTTATTTATGGCAAGAAGCTATCAATGATGAGATAGAATCTCTATAATCTAACAAGATCTGGCACTTAGTAGACTTGCCTCCTGGTTGCAAACCAATCGGTTGTAAATGGGTTTTGAAAAAGAAACTAAAACCTAATGGAACTATTGATAAATACAAGGTTCGCCTTGTTGCCAAGGGTTTTAGACAAAGAGAACATATAGATTTCTTCGACATCTTTTCTCCTATCACTAGAATTACATCCATTAAGATACTTATTTCAATAGCTGCTATTTATAACTTAATAGTACACCAAATGAATGTTAAAACAACTTTTTTAAGCGGTGACTTAGAAGAAGAAATCTATATGAAACAACCAGAAGGGTTTGTGATCTATGGATAAGAAAACAAGGTCTGTAAGTTAGATAATTCTTTGTGTTGGCTAAAATAAGCTCCAAAGCAATGACATGTAAAGTTTGATAACTCAATGATATCGAATGTGTACAAAGTGAATGAAAGTGACAAATACGTTTATTACAAATTTGAGAATTGTATTTGCACTATTATATGTCTATATGTAGACGATCTACTCATATTTGAATCAAACATTCAGGCCATTAATGATATGAAATCATTGTTGTGCAACAACTTTGATATGAAAGACCTCAAAGAAGTGAGTGTGATTCTTGGTATCAAGATCACAAAATCCGAGCAAGGAATTTCTTTGGATCAATCACAATATGTGAAAAAGATCTTAAAGAAATATAATTACTTTGACAGTAAATCTGTGAGCACACCAAATGATCCAATCGTGAAGCTGTTTAAGAACACTGGTGAAAGTGTTAGACAAACAGAATATGCGAGCATCATTGGAAGTCTTAGGTATTCCATTGATTGTACTAAACTTAACATTGCATATGTTGTGGGATTGTTGTATGGGTTTACTAGTAGACCGAGTAATGAACATTGGCAAGCTATTGAGCGAGTCATACGGTATCTTAAAAGGACCATGAAACTCAGTTTACATAATCAGAGATTTCCTGTTGTACCTGAAGGATACAATGATGTAGATTGGAATACCTTATCAGATGATTCCAAAGCAACTAGTGGCTATGTATTCAACATAGCTAGAGGAGTTGTATCTTGGAAATCAAAGAAACATATTATCCTGAGAATATAGCATTAGTGACTGCTAGTGAAGAAGCAAGTTGGTTAAGATGCTTGCTAACTGAGATTCCCTTATGGGAAAACATATATTAGTTGTGTTGATCCACTATGATAGTACCGTGACTATTGCAACCATTATTATAATGGTAAAATACGTCAAATAAGAAGAAAGCACATCACTGTTAGAGATTGTATCTCTAAAGGAGCTGTAAGAGTGGATCATGTACGCACTAATGAAAATTTAGCAGATCCTTTGACGAAAGGATTAGCTAGAGAGAAAGTCTATAATACATCATATAAGATGGGACTAATGCCTATAGGAAAATGAGTTACTCATGATGGTAACCCGACCTAAATGACTGGAGATCCCAAGAAATAGGTTCAATGGGTAATAACAAGTTGTGAGTAATATGAGATGATCATACAAGTAAAGCATGAATCCTGAAGTAATAAGAGGATGAGATAATAGAAACTCTTAATGAGATCTATACTCTGTATGAGGGAGTACCTAGACTACATGAGTACTCTTGATAGACTCACCTATGTGATTGTGGAACTTAGGCCGGTTCCTATGGAATTTCGAGTCAGAATTCCTAGAGCCTTCATTAAACTGGGATACACGTGCATGGCCATTAAAGCACGGGCTATTAGAATACACCTTAAGAAAAGGTTGTGTGCGGGTTTTATGTCTGAGATAGAGTTCAAGACATTTGTGTCACTCTTGTTGAATTGGAATCCTACTTGCTATGCAAAGGTTCAAGTCGTAGACACCTTTGTTTATGCACAATCTTAGAAACGTTTGACGTTACTTCTAAAATCAATTTTTTAAATTCAAGTGGGGGATTGTTGGAACATGTCCATGTTTCAATATGTTGAATTTAAAAATTTCTCAAGTCCCGCATTGTTAGAATATCTTTTTGGTTGAAAAAACCATTTAGTCTCACATTGCTCATGTGAGAAATATTAACTATCTTACTTCACTATATAAGGAGTGCACATGTTTCATTCCAAACCTCACAAAAAACTATTCTTTAGTTTTTCCTTCCTCACTCTCATAACTCTGCGTCTCTCGAATTGTCGAAGCGCTATCTTCTTCCACTTTCTTTCTACTCGTTGAATTATCCGAGTATTTTCTTGAATTCTCTTTAGAGAATTATGTTAATTTCTCCTCATTTGAGTTGAGAAATTTTCAAGTTTAATCTTTTTGGATTCTCTTTGGAGAATTATTTGAATTTCTCTTTGTTGGAGAAATTATTATGAGTGGTCAAATGACCATTATTAATTTCTCTTTGGAGAATTATTTGAGTTTTTTTTTGTTTGAAAAATTATTATGACTGGTCTTTGTACCAGATATTACGAGTGGTGTTGATATCATATTTGAATGGTCTTGTACCATCAGAGGGTGTATTTTTAGACCGTTTATCTATCATGCAAGTAGTAACCGTACAGTATAGAACTAAGCTATTTTATCCTGGAGGCGGCGCGATAGTTCGACTGCTTTGCATAATTTTGAGCAGTGTCGCGAAACGTCTTAAAGAGAGCGACCTAGTCCGCGACTCAACCTGATAATTTCTTCGATGACAAATATTTTAAAATCCGAAAACAACATGAATACTTAAGAAGTCATTTTTTCTTAGCTTATTGCTTTTGTGGCATATGAAATAATGAAAGGAAGGATTTTGAGACCTGAGTATGATTAAAGTTCAGATTTTTAAACTTTTTGTATTAATGAATTGTTGAAGATTTTGTTGCTCTGATTTGAGAGATTGGTGTTTAAGATGGATATTATAAAAACTAAAAACCCACATTAGATTTGGGAACTTTTACTAATTTAATACTCAATTTTTTGAAGTTTTTCTCGAAAGCTTCTGAAATTTCGATGTCTGCTTTTAAGAATCTATAATATAAGAAAATTAGATATTCTGAAAACTCACAATTGTTTTTTTCTCTAAATTTGCCACCTCTTTAAAATAGAGGCAATTTTGGTCTAAATATTATTTTTTGTAACTAACTATGTCATATTGTTCAATTCCAACTACATGTTTATTTGTTTCACTCTCATTGGTTGCAAAGTAACCAATTCAATCCAACTTTTTGAACTTCTATTCACTTTTGAAAATTCCGCTCATGACAACCTTCTCACAACCCTGTTGTCTCAAAATTGTCCATACTATTTTCTTCCTTTCTGTCTTCTGTTGCTCTTCCTCTTCTCCCTTCTTTCTCTTTTTCTTTTTTCTTCAAACAAATTTCTTTCATCAGAGATAAGAAAATTGAAACCAAAGAGAAATAATCGATGATTCGCAGAGAGTCTTAAATTGTAATGATACTTGTAAGGATCTTTCACACAAGCTAGATCTTCATAAAACAAATCCAGATCTGCTATGAACAAGCTCACTAACGAAGCCCTGGACAAAAAAGCGATCGAACTTGATCCTAAATAGGTTGCTTTGTATTTTCTCAAAGCTATGATTATAAATCTTCAAGGTTTTAGAACTTGAGCTATGATTTTAAATATTTATGTTTCTTGATTCTGTTTCAGTTTTTTAATGTTGAGATTTTTTGGAAACCTCTTATCTAAAATATATTTCATATAAAATATAACTATTTATGGAATGTTGTTTCGATTTCAAGCAAAAAAATATGGAGATTTGCTTTTGGGTTGTCGATTCGATTTCAAGAGAAGAAGATGGAGATATGTTTGTGGATTATGGTTTTGTTTCAAGAGGAGATTTTATGGCAGTGGATCTGATGTATTCAACGATTTTACAGCGGTGTGCAATTTCAGGTGGTAGATTTGTAGCAAAGCTCCAAACTTTCTATATATATTTTGTGTATATATTAATTGGTATTTTATATGTGCAGACTTTAGGGTTTCTTCTCCATACATATATGTGTAGATTTTAGGGTTCCATACATCGGATACGATGATAGTAAAAAATCCGTGTTTGGTGGAGAGGTGATTGTTGATAAAATTAAGGAAACGGTACCAGGGGGCAAGACTTCCAATAAAGATCCTTTGGATATTTTTGTGAGTTTTTTTTAATATGAACATTTTGGTGTTTTTTCTGAATTCATTCAATCATTAGTTCAGGTTTATCTTAGATTTCAGTTGTGCATTTGATTATGGAGTAAAGGATAACATGACTATGTTTGGCCTACTATTGTGTGTTGTTTGCATTGACTTAAAATGGAACATTGATATTGGTGAATGGACTATTTTGTATCTTACATGCATAATTAGCATAACTACATTATTATTAGCTCTTTATTGACTTTATGACATATGTGACATTGGTTATTAAATAGGCCACATATTCTATGTTAGTCTTTAGTTTGTGCTCGAATAATTATTGGCATTAATTTCATATTTTCTCTACCCTTCTATCTTTTATGTTTTAATTATATGAACTTTGGACTGTGCTAAATATGTGATTTTATAGATTGACGAGCTCGTGCAAAGGGAGATTATGAATCACATATCCTTGGAGCATCCAAATATCATTTGATTTTCCAGAGGTAAATATTTTCGGCCTCAATCAAATGAATATAATCTCACAGACTTGAGTGTCGTTATGCCTTTTGTTTCATGTGAGAATGTATTGTGTCTCTGAGGCTATTTACATTGAAATTTAGTTTGTTGTCTTTAGCAAATTAAAAATTAGAAATGGAAGTTTTCCATCCCCTTATGGTAGTTGATCCTTAATATTTCTTGAAAATAATGAAAGCATATTAATAGTAAAGGTGTTTTAGTACATGAGAACTATGAACAACTTATTCACATTTCAATTGAAAGCATATTCCTTAATACTTTTACAAGAGAACTGTCATGAGATCTATGGTGAGAAATACACAATTGCATTGAATATATAGTAGCAAGGTAAGCTCAGTTTTGGTATTTTTTACTTTGAAAATGTTATTTGTCGAACATAACTTATGTTAGAAAATAGAATCAATAAATATGTTAAAATCAACTATTTTACAACAAGACTTAACATGTTAAAATGAGATTGACCAACAAAACTTAGGCAAAAGATAAATAAATGATTTAATTAAGAGGGTAGTGTTTATACGATAAAAGTTATATTGTTACCTAAAACTGATATTCTTATACGAGAAAAAAAATTATTATTAATCTAAATATTCTTATATATAATAATTTATTATTTATTCAAATATTTTTGTAAGTGATACTTAAAAAATAATATTTATATACGAAAGAAAATTTATTATTGATATAAATATTTTATATACGAAAAATGATATTTATGATGTAAATATTTTTTATTTAAAAATAGTATATGAGAAAAATATATTATTGATCTAAATATTTTTATATACGTAAATTTACTATCAATTAAGATATTTTTGTAAATGATACCTAAACAAAAATAATATTTTTATATGATAAATTTTTTATTATTGATCCATTTATATGTGAAAAATGATATTATGATTCAAATATATATTTTATTAAAAAATGGTATACAGAAAATAATATATTGATCGAAATAATTTTATATATAAAAATATATTATAAATCCAGATATTTTTATAAACGATACTTAAACAAAAATATTATTTGTATATGGAAAAAAATCTATTATTGATCTAAATATTTTTATATACGAAAAATGGTTTATTTGATCCAAATATTTATGATCCAAAAAAGGTATACGGAAAGAAATTTATTATTGATATAAATATTTTATATACGCAAAAATCTATTATTGATCTAAATATTTTATATACGAAAATTTACTATTGATCCAGATATTTTTATAAATGATACCTAAATAAAAATAATATTTATATATGAGAAAAAATCTATTATTGATCTAAATATTTTTATATACGAAAAATAATTTTTATGATTCAAATATTTATGATCTTAAAATAGTATACAGGAAAAAAAATTATTATTGATCTAAATATTTTTTATATACGAAAAAATCTATTTTTAATCTAATTTTTTTTCTATTAAAATAAATATATTATATAAACAAATATGTGTATCAAACCAGAACTTATAAATATGCACGAATTTATTACTAATTAAAATAAAAAAGTTCGGATTTTTCCCTTTTATTGGTGAACTTGTTGGTAGTTTGTTGATGGATTTGTTTGTCCTTTGTCTGCCAATTTAATTAGGTTAGACTAATGCAATTTAATTATGTTAGTTTTAAAATAATAATATATTAATATTATGGAATATTATGGATTAAGATTCTTGAAGAAATTTTCACGGTACACCTGCAGATGAATTTTTTTTATAAAATAATTAATTTCAGATATATATATTCGAAAATGTTTTATTTTTTATTAAAAAAATGTATTTTCGGATATATATTTTTTAAATAAATCTTATTTTTTTACATATCTGAAAATAAATTGTTGTGTTTTTTTAATATTCTTTTTATAAATTAAGATTTTAATATTATTTTCTCTATTTAATTTGATTAAATTCTTAAGAATGAAAAAAAAAACATTTTTAATAATGAAAAATAAATAATCATATTTATAATAATAACATAATACACTACTTTAAAAAAATTTTAAAATGTTATCTTCAAATCAATGTAAAAGTTAAATAAAATAACACATTATCGTATTGGTAAAAGAATTTCCAACATTTCTATAATTTCTATTCTCTTTTGTTTACTAAATAGGATTTTTTATATATTTAAATATACATCTCTATAAAAAACTTTTTATATGGCGCGTTCGAATATGCATATACGAAGAGTATTTTGGGTTTTGGGATTTTCAGATGTTTATTTCAATCCGATAAGGGTATAATAAGATATTCTCTTAAGATAATTATAAATTATATTAAATATAAATTATATTAAATAAAAATAATAATAATTTGATTAATTTTAAGATGACTTGACATTGACATGTCAATAAATTGAGTGCCACATGTCAACTTTGTCGAAGGAAGAGCTTTGAGGGACGCTTGAATCTCATGAACAAAGAATGACAAAAAGAGCTCCATGCAAGTCGAAGAGTGATGTGGCTCTGCATGCTCAATCAGTAAAAGATAAGAAAGGCAAAGGAAAGTGGTTCGACAATAAAGGTAGATGTGGCTACAATAATTCGACTGGTAGAGGAAACCAACACGAAGAAAATGTGTCGAATTAGAGAAAACAATACCAATGCAACCAAAGAGGTGGTGCTGGAGGTAGAGGAAAAAGTGGTGGTCGAAAACTTGACAAGAGTCCCATTTAATATTACAATTGTCAGAAGTATGGTCATTATTCTAGTGATTGTCCAGAAAAGTGAAAGAATCAAGAAAGTGATGTGAAGTTCGCAGAGTATGAAGAAGAAGAGATGTTGTTGATGGTTACAACAAGGGATGAAGAAAAATTCAAGGACCAATGGTACTTAGATTCAGGATGCTCATCACACATGTCTGGAAGGAAAGATTAGTTTTTCAATCTAAAATCCTCAATAAAGAACATAGTAAAATTTGCAAATGACAATATCCTAGTAGCTAAAGGTATTGTTGTTGTTATGATTATGAGGAAAGATGGCAAGAGGTCAGTAATTTCTAATGTGTTATACATATCAGGTATGAAGAGTAATATGCTCAGTATAAGATAGTTGGTAAAAAAGAACTACAAAGTTTCGGTCGAAGACAAGTGATGAGAGTCGTTGACACAAATGGAAGATTAATCTTGAATGCTCATATGTATCAGAATAAAACCTCCAAGATTGAACTTAATATGATGGAGCACCAGTTCCTTTCGACTATAACTAGCAGAGACGAATGGATATGGCACTACCGACTAGGCCATCTCAACTTCAGAGACATCAAAGATTTGAAGAGAAGAAATATGGTTCCAGGACTTCCAGAAATTGACATTCTAAATGAAGTATGTGAGGAATGTGTGCAGGCGAAGCAACATAAGAATAACTTCAGTAAGGATGCAGGAAGCAGGTCGAAGGCTATTCTCGAATTCATATACTCTGATGTATGTGGACCAATTCAAGTGGATTCGATGGGAGGTAACAAATACTTTGTTACATTCATAAATGATTTTAGTAGAAAATTATGGACTTGCATGATCAAGAAGAAAAGTGAAGTGATTGGGGTATTTGCCAAGTTTAAGTCTATGGTTGAAAGACAAAATGGTCGAAATCTCAAAGGTTTAAGAACTGGTGGTGGTAGAGAGTATGTGTCGAAAGACTTCGATACGTTATGTGAGAAAGAAGGGATTGTGCATGAGGTGGTACCACCCAACACTCTACAGCAGAATGGAATTGCATAAAGGAAGAATCGAACCATCATATAGTGAGAAGTATGTTACAAGGCAAGCATTTACCTAAAGAGTTTTGGGATGAAGCTGTATCTACAGCAACCTACATATTAAACAGATGTTCGACGAAGAAGCTAGAAGGAATTACTCTAGAAGAATGTTGATATGATGTGAAGCTTAGCTTGAGTCATCTGAAGGTATTTGGATCTATTGTACATAGACATGTGCTATATCAATTGAGAAGAAAACTTGATGACAAGTTGAGTCAAATGATCCTAGTTAGATATCATTCGAAAGGAGGTTATAAGTTGTTCGGCCCAGTGAACAAGAAAATTGTGATCACAAAGGAAATGATCATAGATTAGCTTAAGGAATGGGATTGGACAGGAAATGTCAAGAAAGATTCAGTAAGAATCTTATTCGAGGAACCAGCAGTTATAGATCAACCAAGACCAAGCAGACCTCAGAGAATAAGACACATGCCTACAAGGTTGCAAGATTGTACTATTATATCAGATGATGTGGTTGATAGTGAAGGTGAGTTGGTACATTATGCTTTCTATGCAGATGTAGAACCTTTCAATACAACTGAAGCATTGAAAGATTTAAAGTGGGTGAAAGCAATGAATGAAGAAGTGAAGTCCATCGAAGACAACAACACTTGGTCACTTGTCGAATTTCCTCAAGGAAAGAAGGCAATTGATGTCAAGTGGGTATACAAGGTGAAGATGAATTCCTAAGGTGACGTAACTCGACACAAGGCAAGATTGTGGAAAAAGAATTTCTTCAGAAGGAAGGAATTGACTTGGATGAAGTTTTTGCACCTGTGGCTAGAATCGAAACAATCAAATTGGTTGTTGGTCTAACATGAATGAACAGCTGGCACATATGTAAGATGGACGAGAAGTATGCATTCCTGAATGGACCCTTAGACGAAGAAGTCTATGTTGCACAACCAGTTGGATTTGTGAAGCACAACGAAGAGATAAAGGTGTACAGGCTGCATAAAGCCATGTATGGATTGAAGCAAGCTCCGAGAGCTTAGAATAAGAAGATAGATAGCTTTCTAAGGGGGAGGAATTTGTAAAGTGCACAACTGAACATGGAGTATATGTAAAAAGAAGCAATCGGGAATTTCTTATACTATGTCTCTATGTCGATGATTTGTTGATAACAGGTAGCTGCAAAAGTGAGATCGAAGACTTCAAAGGTGATCTCAACAAGGAATTTGAAATGTATGATCTTGG